CACCATGTGGCCCTGCACCCCCTCCCTGTCCCCATGTGTCTCTGTGCACCCCCTTTCCCCATGTGGCCCTGCACCCCCTCAGCCAGCCCCCTCCCCTCATCCCCTTGTATCCCTGCACCCCCTCCCCCATCCCTATGTGTCTCTGTGCTCCCCCTCAGTCACCCTCTTTTCCCTATGTGGCCCTTCACCCCCACATCCCCCTGTGGCACTGCACCTCCACTCCCATTCAGCCCCTGCCCCAGTCTGTCCTCCCCCACTAGCCCTTATGAACCCATCTGTGACCTCCCTTCCCATGTGCTCCACACTGTCTCCCCATATCCCCTGTCTCCTGACCTGGCCTAACAGGCACTGTGAAGAAGGCACTGCAGGCTCTTTTTCTTCCCTATGGTAGCTGGGACTGGCTGGGAGCAGTTGCGCTGATCTAGTGCCACAGTGCCCTCCGGTGGGCAAAAGGTGGAACTGCAGCAACCTTTAGGCAGAAGTTACTTTCTACAGGAAAAAAATATGTGTAGCACATGAATTATGTGCACGCGCAGTGGCGCAGAATTCCCCAGGAGCAGTTATTAAGATTGTTGTTTAAAACAATGGATCCAGGAATCTTCAAACATTTAGAGGGTGTTATAGCTGCATGTGAAAGGTTGCGGGGGGAGGCGTTTAAAGGCAGTGATGTAAAGATTCTATAAGAACAATATGATGATTTGAAGCAAAGAAATACCTATTTTTTTTGTCAGAATGTGGCTAATTATATATCAGTTTTGTAGATTAATTGTAACTTTATTCCTAGCTTCCTATTCAGGTAAAATGGTTTGTACAGAAAACTTTTGAGTCTCAAATTTTGCCTTCAGGAGCTGGACAGCTGCAACTCCAGATGGAAATACAAATGGAAATTGTGTGCTTGTACCTGAGGACAGAATTTGGCCCTTAGCATGTAATTCAAACACCTGTAGAATTTAAGGCCAGAAGGGACCTTTGGCTCATCTCATCTAATATCCTGTATGTCCTAGGCCATTAAATTTCACCCAGTTACTGCCATACTGAGCCCAGTAACTTGTATTTGGCTAAAGCACACCTTCCTGAAAGGCAACCAGTCTTGATCTGAAGACATCAAGAGATGGGGACTCCATCACGTCCCCTGGTAGTATTTTTCAGTGGTTAATCACCTTCACTGCTAAAAATGTATGACTAATTTCTAATTTGAATTTCTCTGGTTTTATATTATAGCCATTGAATAGTGTTACGCCTTTCTCTGCTAGACTGAAGATCCATTTAGTACCCAGTATTTTCTTCTGTGGAAAGTGCTTATATATAGTAATCAGATCACCTCTCAATCTTCTTTTTGATAAGCTAAACAGACTGAGCTCTTTAAGTTTGCTGCTGTAAGGCATTTTCTCCAGCCTTTGAATCATTTTTGTGGCTCCTTTCTGCACCCTCTCCAAATTTGATAATGCATACCTGGCCGATGATACATCAAATAGTTCCATAATCAGAGCCATATTTAGCCTCACATAGAGAACCTTGAGAGTTTTTAAAAGGATGTTTCTTTCACATAATCCATCCCAGTATGACAAGTATTTTATGGTGCTGATTCAGCAAGGTACTTCTGGCATCTGCTGAATGTGTATGACAAGAGTTCCCAAGAGCACTTCATCATACAGATGGGCTAAAAATAGACACCAGTAGAGCTGAAAAGTTCAAACTATACAAGCTTCACTCCATAGTTGCACTTGTGAGCTAATCAAAGTCTATATTTTCAGAAGCATGTTTTTGTATGTACACTGCCAGTGATGCATGCACAATCAGAAATGTGTTTCTGAAAATCTGACCCCAAATTGTTGCTTCTCGTCTCCATATTTGATAATGCCTGTTGTTTATGGACCGATGTTAAATATATTTCAAACCAGGAGAGAGAAAACATTCTATAATTCCCAAGAGTGATAAACCAATAAAGCTAAGAAATTGGCATATGAAGGAAAGTTGGTGACCTCTGTCAGATGCTGCTGCATTTTGGCTTCTAAGAAGTGAAGGAAGGTCCTTAGCAACTTCAATGAGTAAACAAAATGCTAAAAAGTCTTTGAATAGGATCACACACAAAAAAAACCAAACACACTTCATATCCAGTGCTGGAATTAGACATGTATATGGTGAGTATTCCATATCTCCACTTACGGCTGCAGGCTGAAACAAGGGCAGAAGGTGTTTATGGCTGAGTGGTTTATACCATTACTTTGTTTATTCCATTTCAAGAAGTGATCAGATCCATGCATTTAAAAAAATACTAAGCAGTGACTTCATCTAAAAGGGTTTTGGTGACTGCACAAGCCACTTGGGCTTCACTCATAGTTTGTGATGTCAGCAGAACTGCCCAATGGAACTGTTGGCCCCTAATTCAAAATTGCATCTTATTTTCCATACATGGAGTGTATGGTGGTTAGCGACTGGGACAAGGGCAGTTGTGTCTAGGGACACAAGAGTCAGTAGCCAGGTTAGAGCCGGAGTCCGGCACCAAGAATTGGGGCCCAGAGTCAGGGGCAGAGTCAAAGTCAGAACCAATGGTCAGCACCTGGTTGTCTTGTGTGAGGCAGACAGGGCTGGGAGCAAGCAGGCAAACAGAAGCTATCACAGCCTTGGGCAAATGCTTTGAGTAGCCAGTGCTGTGCTGTTGCTGCTGTTCTTAAAAGCCAATCAGGTGGCTCAAGTGGGGCCCAGCTGTGCTTGTTAGCGTGCTTGGGTGTAATGCTAGCAGGCTGGCTGCGGGTCCTCATTCCTGACCATGGTACATATGACAGTGACACACACAGGAGTCATGGTTACTTTATTTCCTGGCCCCAATGACATGACACTGGGTCTGTTTCCACTGACTCCAGTAGCCACTGGGACAGTAATATATGATGATATTTTCCACTTCTATTATGTGTATCATCTGAGGATCCCAAAACACTTCATAAGCATTAGTTTAATTAGTTTAGTTGCATATTTAATGATATTTCTGTTAACCCTATCAAACAACTCTGATTTCACTGCAAATCTTAACACATACATTCCCATTAAAAATCATGAGCTTGACTCAAATCTGAAAGATTCCCGTTTTTCCAGGGTCCATCAACAGAGAGAGCCTGCCTGGCAAGGTCACTCACAATCCCTCCTCTGCCAGAGTTCCTGGAGCTGGCCTACCTGCCCCAGCAATTGGCACTGCTGCTTGCGAAGGTGCGGTTGCTAGCGTACATGAGGTTTGTTTGGATTCAGCATGCAGAGCCTTAGTAGAAATTAAAGTTGCCACCGGCAAGTGGAACCCTTTAGGTAGGTCAGTGCAGGGCCGCCCGGGGGGGGAGGGGGCAAGTGGGGGAAATTGCCCTGGGCCCCACAGGGGCCCCCACGAGAATGTCAGAGGCTCCCCCCTGCCTCCGCCTTCACCCATCCCCCGGTGCCTCAGCGCGCCGCGTCCAGGAGCGGCCCTGGACAGCGCTGCAGCGATGTGGTTCGGGCGGGGCCTGAGCTCCTCCCACTCAGAGCCGCATGGTAAGGGGGCGGGACTGCGAGCTGCGGCCAAGCGGTGGGAACTCAAGTCCCGCTGGAGCCATGCTGCTGCAGCGCTGTCCAGGGCCACTCCTGGACTCGGCGCACTGAGGCTCCGGGAGAGGGGGGAAGCGGGGGTAAGCGGCATGGTAAGGGGGCCGGGGCTGGGGATTTGGATAAGGGGCAGGGAGTCCCGGGGACAGTCAGGGGACAGGGAGCGGGCAGAGGTTCTGGGTGGTGGTGGTCAGGGGACGGGGAACGGGGGGTTGGATCGTGGGCGTTCCGGGGATCTGTCAGGACTCAGTGGGAGGGGGGGGTGGATAGGGGTCAGGGCAGTCAGGGGACAGGGAGCAGGGGGGTTGTGGGGTGTGGGGCCCCGGGGTGGTGGTTGTGGAGGTCTCGGGGGGGGGCCGTCAGGGGACAAGGAGCAGGCTGGGTCTGGGATTCTGAGGGGGCAGTCAGGGGGTAGGAAGTGGGTGGGGGTCGGATAGGGGGCAGGGCCAGGCTGTTTGGGGAGGCACAGCCTTCCCTACCCTAAAGCTCATTCAGCA